CCTTCCCCTCCAGGGCTATGGGCCCCGAAGGGAAACATGACCAATGCCCCCGCCCCCTGCTAGGGCCGCTGCCCCGCCGGCCGACACCTCGGCGCTCCCGCTCCAGCCGCCACTTCCGGCGTGCTGCGGCCTAACCCCGCCGGCTGGGAAACCCGCGCCTCCCCGCAGCCACCATCCGCCGGGGACCGGGAAAGCGGGGACACAGCGCGGCTGGGGTGCTGCAGCCCCGGGGAACGGTGGTTGGGAGCAACTATCTGTATGTGCGAGACCGTAAGAGGCAGAATTAGCACTGGGCACCGCCGGCTGAGAGTCGGTCTGTGGTTGTCAGTGGCCGCTGGCTGTGTGCCTGGGGATGAGCGTCCTGACCAGTCAGTCGTAGGAGGTTGGGTACGATTATGTGCTATTGTCCCCACTTTATACTGAGATTATCATCAAGGGGAAGAAATTACCGTATTTATGTGCAGGTCACACATAGTAAGTGGGCATGGCATACTGTCTACTCAGCCTGGAAACCTAAAGACTCAGGTTAAAAACTTGTGCACTAAAAGTCCCTAGTCTGTACAGTGCCAGGTTTGTACAATCCCATAAAGGGGCATACTGGTGCCTTGAATATCTGCCAACTCCCAGCTACTGCCCAGTAGGTCAAGTCTTTGTCATGGCCAAAGCCTTCCTCTCTGCAGGAGGAAGCGCATATCCAGCCAGGAGTAACTGAGGGGAGCTGGAGACCTGAGTCAAATCAACCTCACAAGCATCAGAGCCCAGGGTCGGTCCAGCTTATCTGCGCCAGGTAGGGCGTGGAGGCCACCACAGATGTGATGCTTTCAACACTGCTGTGGAGGATAAATACGTAGTACATTTTTGCAGAAAAGGGTTGCAGGAACTTCTTTCTTTTTTTGCAGAAAGAAGCAGAGCCCTCAATAACGGAGAGCTTGAGGTAAAGGAGAGGTAGATATAAAAACCTACAACTCCTTTAGGGCTTGATCAAGAGCTGTGTTGTAGAAAACTGACATTTGGTGACTCGGGATAAATCTGGAGGAAGATCTCTCCTGTGAGGACAGATCTGAAGGATCTCTTGGGGAAGTAAATGTGATTCAGAGGCTGAACATTCAGCAAGTCCTCCCAACAAGAAAGTTAGTTGTTATTCAGCTCTTCTCATCCATAGGCTGAGTGAGAAAAGGGCAAGAAGCAGTCATGCTGAGTTAGAAGACCAAGTCAGTCATTCTTCTGGAGATATCCCCTGTGTTCCCCCAACAGAGAAGAAGGGGTGGAGGTCTGTTTTATGATTAACAAACAGTTTCCCTTAAGAACACACAGCTAATGGCTGCAACAGAAGTAGAGGCCCTCTGCTTGACTCCCTGCCCCTTCACACCTCAAGTTATGGCCAATGGCTAAAATTTTATGGTCTGCAAAATCTTGATCATGATACATTTATCAATGTTATTATTACCACTTTAAATAAGTAAAATCAAAATCAATTTTAAAAGGTTACATATTGCAAGCTATTTGAGGTCCAGTTTCAACAAACAAATACACCCTCTGCAATAAGAGTTTGTGCTGGCTCAAAATAATCAGATTTCACAGTTCAGGCAATTCATAATTAACATACTATAGCTTTAAAGCTGATTAAGAACTGTTCACTGACAATTTAGAGAATCTAGATAAACCAAATGGGAGCAAATACATTTTTTAGGTTTACATGTGACTCTATTGGGTCAGATAATAAGAATGATCCTTGAAAAGTTAAGATAGCCACAAACTTAAGGCAGTGGTAGTTGTAACACATGGAATAAGTCATTTAGTAATGACAGTTTTTTTCTAAATGTTCCCACTTAATGTGTGAGTGCTCACTTATTGCAAATAATTTTTACTAAATCCCAAAATAAGAATAAATTACATAAGGACTAAAATTCTGTTGAAATTATCATGATTTTACAACTGTCTGTAAAGAAAGTCACTGGCGGTTAATTAACTGAGAAGGCAATAAAGATAGAATTAAACTTTAACTGTTTTTGTTCCTGTTTACCCACTGCCTTTAAGAGCCTTTAAATACAACCATCTTAATGAATTGATTTCAAATCAGTCTATACAGACCAACTTCTATGTAACATCATTTTTGAAAGCTAAAAAATTTTCAACTTCAATTGCTGAAATTCAGTTAGCTATGAGTTCACCAGAAATGCCTAAAGCATCCTCTGAACTCCCCCTGATAGTTCTTTTGGATCACAGCAAATGTGGACAATCAGCAAGTTTCCTGAAATGTGTCCCCTAGGCCCAAGTATCATATGTCCCTGGATATCCACAAACTTTGGATCTATTTCTTATCAAGCAGGCAGAGGGCAAATTTATTTACTTTGTTCTCTGCCAACTGACTAGATGTTTTTTAAACAATTGCTTCTCAACTGATGTCATATAGTGCAACATGATTGAAATGATAAACACTGGCCTTTCCTGTGAGGCTTTCATACTTTGGGAGCAGCAAGCTCACTCTTGATGTCTTTAATATCACTGGTTCTGCCCAGCAAATTGAATTCTTTGTTGGTTTGACACTTCAAAAACAAGAAGTAAAAAAAAAAGAATTCTTTGTTGGGAACAAGATTGACAAAATGAGCTAGGTGGTTGGACATGGCAAAAAAAAGCTGAAGTGGCAGCTCTGTCCCAGGCATCTTCTCGGTTGAAGCCATACACCTCACTCAGGCTTTTTGAAATGGTAGTTTTATGTCACCACCTCAGGAAAGAGCAAGTGCAAACTCCAGCCTTGCCTTTTTCCAAACAGGGATGTCAGACTTTCCCCAGTTCACAAAGACCTGCAAGAAAACACACAGTCAGAAGCAGAATCTAATGAAATTGGCATTAATGGAAAAAAAAAACCAAGGTTAGAATAAAGGGGCAAAGTAAGGCCAAAATAAACTTTCCAGATAAGTATCTTGGTCAAGTCCAGTGGAATGCAAACCTGGAAGCCTGGCTCAGCACCACTTCTACCAAAAAGTCCTTTTTGTTCACTCTGGCTATAAAAACTTTCTCCTCTTAACACCCATGGCTTCAAAAATCTCAGACACAAGACTCAAAGACTCTTAGTACCCAAGGACCCAAAAGCCCAACTTTTTCATATGAGAAAAGTGGGGCTCAAAGAACTATCCTTTTGCCCCCAATTAATCCGAAACAAGACCCAATATTTGCAAAATTAATGGCTGACATTTAGCAACTACTGTGTGCTAAAGAATGTGCTCAATGCTTCTCATTCTTTATCTCATTTAATTCTCATAAAAATCCTAGGCAGGGGGGACGAAGGCCTCATCCCCCCCCCACCCGCATCCACAACTCAGCCCAGCTATGACCACCAAGTCTCTGCTGGAAGCCCCCTGGTCTCCCCTGCCAGAATGAAAGGGGTGCCACGGGCCTTGACCATTCCCTCCCTCCATCTTCCTCTTCCCACCCTATTTACCTGCCTCTTTCCCTCTCCCCCTCTCCCCAACTGCTCCATAACAACATCTTAGAATATAAAAAAAAAATCATAAATTTTTAAAATAAATAAATAAGTAAATAAAAATCCTAGGCAGTAGTATTTTTTTTATCATACTCATTTCATTCACAAAGAAACTGAAGCTCAGAGAGGTGAAATGACTTCCCCAAGGTCACACAGCTAGAGTGAGGCAGAGCTGGGATCTAAATCCAAGACACTAGATTCCAAAGACTATATAATAATCATTACCCTTGCTGAAGCAAAATACTTGAAACCACTAAAAACCTAAAAATTGAAGAATGGTTCAGCAAACCATAGTGTGACAACACACTCCATAGCCACTAGGGAGGCTAATACCTAATGAGACTGATCCTGGATGAGAAAGGGTCAGGTGACTAGTCAGGAGGCTCTCAGCAGGGCAAAGGGGGATGTTCTGGTAGTTACATTCAGGCTGGCAACACAGGCTCTGAGGGAAAAGTTTGCAGGGTCTCCACTCAGGTCAGAAGGGAAGGTTGGGGAATGGGAAAACTGATGAAACTCAACCGCAGAAATAAACACAGAGGACAGATGTTTCTGTTCTCCCACCCCAAGTTGCCCACCCACCT